TATATAATATCTGGAATATCCAACTACAACATTATATATCCTGCTTTCAACAAAGAATTAATGACTCTGAGATTCTTGGTATTTCTACCAAAATCTGTTTACAACAACTTCAAAACAACCTTTGTCTGCTATTAATATTTTTCAGCACAGCCAACCACTTATAGATGGACCTAACAAACTTACACTTAACTTCAAAATCATACAACTTTTATAACACCTTGGCATATCAATTTTAGGCAACTCTAATGTTCTGTGATCTAATACTTTTCATGATAAATATCAACTACTAGAACCAATACTCAGTCAACATCCCAAATACTATATTTTCAGAAAACAACTTTGAAAAAACAATATATTCTACTTAGAGCAATTAAGTACTGCAGATAATAGTACATTACTTAAATAGCACCACCTTTTACCAAGACCCACAATCTAACAAAAGGGAGGCAACCTCTCTGGTTTACCTACCTAGAAGATACAATCTTATCTAACAGACTACATTGCCTAATCATTCTTTATTTTCAACCTCCAGAAGTTAATGCTTTTGCATATAATACTTCACTAATCAAGATAAAACTTAAACCTTGGCTACTTACCTACAATAATAATAATAAAGAGATTATTATTGCCAAAATTTGCAAATATTTTTCCAATATAAACCAGTTCTCTATCTCATATTGGAATACAAATATTGATTTAGAACATAATTACTATTACCTACTTCCAGATTTAAACTGCATACCATGTACTGGATGTCATCTTAACTTAAACAAAATTAAGCAAACATGCACAATTAACATTTTAGCAACTATCTGTACTAGCTTTTTAGGAAGAAAAACCTCTAAATTCAAATTCAATGCTAACTACTTGGATCTTATTTATTCAACAGCAATTAAATATTCTTTACAAATTTCTCATAACTATCCTACTATCCTACTATCAATATATCAAATTTAACTATTACAGAAATCTTTAAATCCAATGACTGTTCAAACAAACTTGAAGAAATTTTTTAAAAAATTATCTTATAAGAAATTTATCTTTTATATAGATGGATCAGTAACTGATATTGGAACTAAACAAAGCTTAATAGGCATTGGATGGGTCCAAATTGATAGTAACAACCAAGTTCTTCATAAATTTTCAGCTAAAATCTATCTTTGGCCATCAGCTTATAAGACAGAGCTCTTTTCTATCCTATCTGCTATCTCAACTGTACCTTGTAATGCAACACTTCAAATCTATACTGACTCACAATCAGTTATATCTAAATACTACAAACTCTCTACACAACTCAATAATCCTAACAAACTTTTTAAATTTAATACATGGCCATTATGGCATACACTTCTTAATATCATCAAATCCTTCAATTTAAATATCAATTTTTATAAAGTTGAAGCCCATACAGATAATACCTTTAATAACATGACTGACTCCTTAGCAAAACAACATATTTTCTCTTTGCCTTTAAACTTTTAATATACAAATATTTACAACTCTTTTCATATTTTACAATGGGAACAAAATCCTGTTACGCTTCCTACTTGATACTTTATCAAAAATATTTGCAAAGCTCACATATTGGCAATATAGTCTTTACAAAAAAGAAACAATGAATGGTCTTATATTAACTACTACATAGACTGGCAATTAACATAGCTATATCTCAATCATAATCAAAAACCCTTATCCAACTTTACTAGTTTCAAACTCAATCAATCTAAAGCCTTTAAAATCAAAGCTTTACAAATGAATTACTAACATACTTTTCTTTTTACATCATTTATTCAACTATCTTTACAAATACTAACTGCTTCTAATGTAACTTTTCTGACTCTCACTCATACTGGCTAACTTGTTTTAACTCTTCTCTTATAACAAAAATTATTAATTTATCAATTCAGCACATTTTATCTAAAGCAGATCTTGACTTATCTACTAGCCAACTTCATGAACTTATTCAAAAGGTTCAAAAACATTCTTTCTTTGACTGAATACCATTTTAAGCAAACTCTTTCTATTTGGATCTTACTCTTAAAGACCTTATACCCAAAGCTTTAATTGAAACAATTCATAACTACAATATACTAACTAAGATAGTTTTACAAATTATTATTTAAATACTCCTTGATATTAATGATCAAATTTACAATCAAATATGGAAACCATACTTATGGATGTAAACTTAATTAAATTTAATTGCTAAAATAATTTTATTTTTCAAAAATATTATTGTTTTGATAATTATAAAGATTACGGTATATCATAATTAAATTTAGAATTATTAAAGTAAAAATTATATAAATTACATAAAATTACATAATTTAATAAAATTATTATATGATCAGTTTAAACAATAGTATTGATTGCGATAGTGATTAAAATTACGCTATAATAAATATCTTCAATTTTATAATTGATAAATCGACTTCTACAAATTTATCTTCAAAGATGTCAAAGCAGTTAACTCAACCTGATACATGTTCAGTGGAACAAAATAAAACATTGAAATGAAAAAGTGTAGGTCGACCAAGAGAAAAGATTTGGGAATATTATATTGCAAGCAATGTTGTTGGTGACCGTAGTGCAACTTGTCATTATTGTTCAAAGTATTGGAGTTGTGGACACCCTGGAGAAATAGAAGCCCATCTTGCGAATATCTGTCATGATGTTCCTATAGATATGAAAACATATTGGCAAGAATCGCTTTCAACCAAAATTGTTAATTATAAGTGAATAAAAAGTTCAGATCAAAGACAATTAAATCAACATAACTTGTCACAATATGAGCAAAATGAAATCGACAAAGCTATTTTAAAAGCTTGGGTCATGACAAGCTCTTTATTTAATATCCATTTATGTTTGATTTATTCAAGCATCTTAATTTGTTATATGATTTACCTAGTCGAATAACACTTTCTAATAGGTTATTAGAACAGGAAGTTGCAAGAATTAATCTTAAGATTGATGCTGAATTAAAAAAATGTAATTTTTTAACACTTGCTCTTGATAGATGGTTATTACCAACTGGAAATTCAATCTATAATTACATAGTTTTAACCACAGATCAGCATGAATATCTTATTGCACTTAAAGATTATTCAAAAATTTTACAAACAGGGATCTTTATTGCAAATGAAATCGAAAATATATAATTAATATAGGAGTAAATAAATTTGCTAGAATCATAACTGATGGAGGTAGTAATGTTAGAGTTGCACAACAAATAATTAATCAAAAATATTCACATATTTTAAACATTCAATGTGCAGCACATTCTTTAAATCTAATTGCTACAGATTTAGTAAAAATTAAACCTATTGGAAAGTTAATTTCTCAAAATAATGAGATTATAGGATTTTTTAATAAAAGTCATTGCACAAATGCTATTTTAAAGGAAGAATTGACAAACTTACAAATTAAGGGTGGTACTTTAAAATTGTATAGTAAAACACATTGGTGTTCACTTTGTAATACAACAGATTCTTTACTATGTGCTCGCCCAATATTTGACTAGGTATTTTAATTTATAATTATTGATATTATTTATGTATATATTAATATATAATATATAACTTTTATTATTTATATACTATAGATTAAATGTGAAAATTCCATTGTACTAACTAATAAAAATGTATCGAATTACATCGAAGATGAAACATTATTTCAATTGTCAAAATAGTATTTGAGATCTTTAAGCCAATTAAAGAAGTCATTAATCTTGTGGAATCAAAAACTGCAACAATGCTGATTGTTATATTGAATACATAAAATTAGCAATTGCAATTAGTCAAATATCTAATAAAAATATTCTTAAAAATAATGCTATTACTATTTTTAATCATAGATATAGGAATTTAATTCTGATATATATTTACTTGGGTATTTTTTGCATCCTGGTTACCATGGCTTAGAATTAAAAACAGGAACATTCAGACAGATTTGTAAAGTTGCCACTAATTGTTGGAAAGCTCTGGGAAATAATGAGTATTCATGCTCAAATTTATTAGCTGATCTTAGGAAATATAAATGAAATGAAGATCCTTTTGATATGAAATATAAAAAAGAATGTGAAACACCTCTTAATTGGTGGCTTACATTTGATGATGATGATCAACTCTTAGTTAAACTTGCAACTAAACTATTTTCAATAATGCTATCTCAAGCTGGATGTGAAAGGAACTTTTCTACATTAGGATGGATTTATGGAGATAATTGATATAGGCTTGATATTCATAATGTTGAGTCAATAGCAAAAATTTGGTCTTATTATTTAACAAATATTAAAAAAGAATTGGTTCATTATGGAAAAGATTTAACTCAACAGGAACTAACAAATTCAGTAAATGAGACTGTAATTTCAGATATTGACTAATTTTTACTCTATTCAAATCAAGAACTTTTATCACCAAATACTCAGAAACTTTTACCAACAAACATTCAAAAACTTTCATCCTTAAACATTCAAGAATTTCTACCATCAAACCATCAAGGGCTTTCTTTATCAAACGATCAAGAAATTGCTTCACCAGAAGTTATTAAACAAACTGATACTCTTATGATTTCAGAAGTTATCAATATTACAAATTTATCAATCGAAACTGATGGTCAATTGAAAGTTAATAGGTCACATGGTAGTAATATAAAAAATTCAAATTCGTTTAATTCTAGTACAAATGATTTAATAACTAGGATGTTCAAAGCAAATAGTGAATTAGAGTTGCAATTAGATTAGTAATGTGGTGTGAATTAGAGTTGCAATTAGATTAGTAATGTGGTGCAAAACTTTATTATATAAAGAATTTATTGCTATCATTGTGGAGTATTAGCGGTATAATATAATAAATATAATGATAAAATTATTTATCATATTTTACAATACATTTAGCATAAATAATGCAATAATTATTTTTCGTTTTTTGCAATAAATCTAGTAATTAAATATATTAAAAAATTATTGTTTTGTGATTTTTGATTTTATAATACCAAATAATTTTAATTAAGTTTACATCCCTAACCATACTGCATTGAACTCTCTAACTAAAAAAAGAATAACAATATTATATCTCTTCAAACTCATAATACTCACATTACTTCACAACAAATACAACCAACTAGACATTACAAAAGATCATATACAAACTATACATACTTATGTTTATGTGAAATAGCAGATCAATTACACTTACATTCTAATACTTGTCCACCAATTAGACAGGCTATTAGGAAAATTAATATATAGTCGACACTTTGAATTAATCATAGCACATCTTATAATCATATTTTAATATTACAAATCTAGGTAGGCCTTGACTACTATAGTCAGTTTAGGTTGCAAATAATGTTGTCTAAGTTTTAATCCTTGCATGTAGTTTTTATTTTGTATCTTACAATCTTAGTATATCTTTAATATATAGTATATTAATATGTACAACTAAAATTACTAATAAAGATATAAGCAAGGCCTCACCTTAATACCAAAAAAAAAATAAAATAAAATTTAGATAATATTTTGTTTACAGATACATTTTTGATTTAAATTAAATTAATATACTTATAATGCTAAGTAATTTCAAGGCCTGGGTCCTATAGCTTAATGGATAAGCCTTCAGATCCATCACAGATAAGGTTAATGTTTGAGTCTAGCTACATGTAAATATACTTTGTAATCTTTCTAGAATCCTATAACTAGATGTAAAGCCTGTAGCACAAGCCCAAGTAGATATTTGTTTGAATTAGAAATTTCTAAAAAAAGATCAATCTGTAGAGTGCAGACATTATACTAAGTGAGAAATGTAGTGAATACAAGAAGATCTGTAAAAAAGGATTGGCTTTACTAATCAGAAAACACATCTGGCAGAAAAAACCTGTAACAAATATAGTTATAAGATCTATCTCTGTTTTAGTAGAGTTTACCTCATATGTAAAGTAGTTTAAAAGCCTGATATATATCAAATTAAGTCTAATATTACAGAAAAAACATTAAAAAATTAGAAACTTTAAATAGAAAATCTACAAGTAGGTTTCAGATATGGCAATTAGCAGGTAACCTGCAGGCAAAACCTTAAATAGACAATAACTAAAATTGTATATATGACTAATTGTAGTCTCATTAATATGCAAAATATAATACTTTATTATATAAGTAATAAGTAGATTTTATACTTAAATACTTATATCCCAATTTCTACAGAAATTTTAACTAATATCTTAAAACTTATTCTTTCTAAATTTATTAATATATTCTTTACAAAACTCAATTATAAAAAAATTCTTCAATCTTATTATACTTTTCTACTATATATATTTCAAAATCAACTTCAAGTTGCTGTCAATCTTGCTTGTTTACATCTTTTTCTTAACTTTAGTTACAAAACTATTTATGCAAAAAAATTTGCAGAAGATCTAAATCTTCAACTATTTCACCTTACCTTACATTATAACATTAGTTATAATTTAATCAACAAAGCTCCTTTTCAAATACAAAATGATAAAAAGTTAAATGTTAATATTTCTTTTAATAT